CCCCCCCAATAGTTGGGGAACTGGCTGGGGTGAAGGCGGCTTTATGCGAATCGTCCGGAATGGCCAAAACGCTTGTGGCCTCGCCAGCTACGCCTTGTACCCTATTCTATGATTTAATAAGATGTGGCAGTCTCAAGGCTACGCTCTTCCATTGGACCTCATCTCCACAAATCAACAGTCAGTGCTCATACAGCCCAAATCACCTTTCTGACAGTTTAGTAAATGTTTATGAAAAGTTGAAACCTTTTAATAATGAACATGTCGCTTCTCTCAGGGACATCTTTGTGAGGTAAATAAAAAAATATAATAAAATAACCAAAATAAATGTGTGATTAATACCAGGGTCACCTTCAGCAACTCAAAAGATTAGAGGCGCCTTTGATATTTTCACTGGCTGATAGGACTAAACTGGAAGCAGACCAGTTTAGATTTGAACTCTTGCTGTTGCATTATGTGCAAAATGTAGTTTGTCAAAGTCTTACCTGAAACAGACATCCTCTAGATGGCGATATTGCTCCAAAACCTTTAGATGTTGTCCAAAATTAGTGGAGCCTTTGCCTTGTGCAGTAATGCCCCCACCCTCAACATATCATCATATACTGGATTTTGTTTTGTTTTTGTTGCCCTCCTTTTTGTGTGACCTTCATTCATAGACTTTGTGTTAAACATAGATGTAGTTTCTTAGTCTGAAAAGTGAATTCAGAGTGAAAGTAACTAAAATCTCCATTCTTTCTAACAGCCAGAAGGGGGCGACTCTTCTGGTTTAAAAAAGAACTCAAAATTGTACAGAAGTCAGTAGGAAAATGGTCCTCGGCTCCTGTGTTCTGTAACCTCAATAAACACTTTCCTCATGGATTAAAGGGCTACCTTATACACACTAACATATAGATTTTGTAGATTAGACCATATAAAGCAAATCAGGGTACCCTGTGTAAGCAATATTAGTCACAGTTGATTTGTAACTTTCATTGCCAGACTGCAACTTTTTGTTATTTTTGTTAGGCTGAAATGAGAAAAAATTGAAAATCTAAAAAGAAAAAACTGAGCCTGGCCTCAACAAGAATCTGTGAACAAACAGAACAAATGTAATGGTTATTTTAAAAGTGAGTGCAAATAAAGCTTTTACATCGGTGGGTTTTTTTGTTTCTGTTTGATATTTTTGGTACTCCTGTTTGCTTTAATAAACTATATTCCATATGAGTTCAAAAGTTGTGATTTCTTCTAGATTCATTTGTCACTTATTTCACACACTGCGTCTTCCTTCGTGTGCAACCACACCTCACTGAACTTTGATCTTAAGTCACACATATAGTTACACTCTCAGTCACTTATACAACCCAGCTTTTCTGCAACTCTCTCGCACAAAAAGCTCCAAAGTTCAGTCGAAGCTCCCTCCTAGCGGGGAGGATTTTTTTAATACACTCACAGGGCTCATTGAAAGACTTATAATGCAGTGGGCTGCTTCTTGGCTTTGCATTGCAGCGCCTTTGTTTTTGCTCTGCTTTGCTCCAAGTTGTCCCTCTGCTCAGAAATATCCAAAGTGTTGGCATGACAGACGCACTCAGATCCGTCAGAAGCAGCACAGCAGGAAAACGTTCTGTGATCCTTCCTTCAGCAACCAGACAGCAGGTGCTGTCACTCAGTCTGACAGGGTATATTCGGCAGCTGGGGCGCCAAAATAATACCATAAAATAACAGAAAATATCTTCCTCATAAAAATACGGTTATTTTCAGTAATGACAATACAGTTTGTTGCCCTAATTTTACATGGGATTTTGCCTTTTCCAAGTGCTTTTAAACATTAAATTAGGAACATTTTAATGTGATCAAACAATGAAATTACCTATAAACAAGGTCAATGAATGTGGCAATATGAATAATAATACTTAAATGTACAGAAATATACAGTTAACAGTTGGTTTAAATAATAATGGATTGCATGCCCTGGGACAGACTGACAGAGGCGAGGCTGCCATATCGCACCATCGGCCATCACCAGTAGGTGAAGTGTCTTGACCAAGGACACAACGACCGAGAGTGTCCGAGCCGGGGCTCGAACCGGCAACCTTCTGATTACAAGGCAAACTGCCAACTCTTGAGCCACGAGCACCCTAAACAGCAATAATAGAATAATAATATTTGATGTAAACAAAGTTTATAGGAATCATGTTATATATTTTTCCATAGCATTACATTTGAATTTAACAGTTCAATCTTTCAAATAACGGACAAATATTTGTGAAATCATGATACATTTGTGAATGTATTTTAACAATCTAAATATGCATATGTACAGACAAATACATTTAAAAAACAAGAAAATTATGTTTTATTACATTACAGTGATTTTACGTTAATTTACATTTGAAATGTGAAATCACAGTCTATTTATGTAAATTTAATGATATTCTAGAAGAACAGAACAAAACTGTAAAATACTTTTATATTAGGACTTTTTCTTACAGTGCACTTTACAGCAAATACTACAGCAGGAACTGCATTTACACCTTGTATAATGATTGATTTGTGGTAATGCATTACTTTAAAGTAGGTCAAGCACCCCTGGAGTTTTCCATTATGTTAATCGCCCCATAGTCGACTGTTCATCTCGCTGTGTCATTACAGAAGTGCAGCTCTGGCTTCTACAGAGAGTGGGCCGGACCGAACAGGGGCCAGTGTGTGCCATGCAGCTGCAACGGGCTCTCCGATGAGTGTGATGAGCGTACAGGGAACTGTGTGGTGGGTGCTGACTCACACATGCACACACAAAAAGACAATAATTACTCAGATACAAGTGATGTCTCTGCTGCTGAGAAACAATATTGTAGCAGATGTCAGTGTTGTAGCATTTGTAGTCACGCTGCTGGGCCAGATGGAAACCATGTTCATTTTCTTTTGTTTGACCTAACTGGCCTCTAGAAATGTCAGTTCGACACTGCAGGAAATCGCTGTGAACGTTGCAAGGAGGGTTATTTTGAAGATCCAGTGAACAGAACCTGTCGTGCCTGTCCATGTCCCTTTACAGAGAACAAGTCAGTATCTGTTTATGTCCTACTCTTCCTGCACAACTTTCCTTTTCCTTGTTTTGCGTGAATATGAAGACCTTCACTCTTTGTTTTAGTTTTGCACTGGCCTGCCTCGATGTTGGCTCAGGAGTGGTGGAATGTTTGTGTAAACATGGTTACAGTGGAGTCAGATGTGAGAGGTAACCGTACATCATTTGCATCTTCATCTTTGCAGCAAACGCCCCAACCCTCAAACTTATTTACCTTTCTCGTGTTTTTT